CGTTTCCTGAGCCACAGGTTCGCGCCGTATCCGACTTGGTCGCGAACGTCACGCCTGAATTTTTCGGTTGCGAAAGTCTGGAAATGGTAAATCTTGGTCGCGAGAGTCTGGGCATACCAAATATGATTCGCGATGTTTTTGTCGCACCACCTCCGCTTCGGTCGCGGAAGTCGCGACGGATCATCATCGTCGCGAAAGTCTGAAACTGCCAGGTTTTGGTCGCGAAAATCTGAACATGCCTTATGTTGGTCTGGAAAGTCTGAACATGCCAAAAGTTTGTCGCGAAATCTAGACTTGAGTCTGAGACCTCGACCCGGGTTATAATCTTAGATTTATTTCATGTTTTTTTTTCACCAAATTGTTAAAAAATACTTAATGTTTTTTTTTGGATTGAACATTTTAATTATTCTCACAACGCCCAAAGGTGCAAAAACAAATGAAAGTTTACTTTATATCACAATTGTCTAAATACTTATGATTTGACAGAACATTTGATTATCGTAAAAAACAGCGCATTCATTATTAGATAAACGTAGTATAGACAGATTCGATTGCTTAAGTATAATTGGGGCAGTACAGCAATGCCGAAATACAACTGTGCCAAAAGTGAAAAGTGTTCAACAATGAAGTTATGTTCGGCACTGTTGTATTTCGGCACTGTTGTGATGCCTTCAGAGGGGCGTTCAACAGTGCCGAAGTACAAGAGTGCCAAAATCAAAATTATTCTTCAACAGTTCCAAAAATCATCAATTTTAGGCACGGTTGAACACTTTTCCACTTTCGGCACAGTTGTTTTTCGGTACTGTTGAACGCCCCCGTATTATTGGTTGAATTATTGGGAATTTAAAAATAGCAAAAAAACTGCAATCGGAGCAACTGAGAGTCAAATCTTCCGTTTTTGTTGTGTCTTTGGGCATACAGTCGACCCCAGCGTTTTCGAAAATGCTGAGGATCATTTTCGTTCCTTGTACGAGAATAATGTGGTTTGCCATTAGTCTCTTTGTTACATCTTGTGTGATAATGTTTTTTTTCTAATCGAAATTGAAAATTGGTTTTTTAAAGCGCTGAAAAAATGTTTTATTTTTAGAAAAATGAGTTTTCGAATATCGAATAAGTTTAAAAGCGCTTCGCTAATTTAAGAGACTCAAAAGAACTCCACAAAAGTTTTTGAAAGAAAAATATTTCAATTTTTTCAAAACGTGTTGTTTTATACTCTTGTTTTTATTTGGGCAAATACGCCTAGTAGAAAAGTTTTAAGGTTTTGGTATATCTATCCACACGACGCAAATAGCTAAATCGAATTACAAAAAATAGAGATTCTTTTGGAAAACTTTTTTGGCCGAAATTTCCTGCCTTTGTAAAATCGGCCATCCTTGTTGCTCCGACAACACCATTTTAGCGACGGGAAGCAATTATGATTTAGCTTAAGTTTATTGCCTATATTTAAGTATCTCAAAAACACTCATTTTCTGAGGTCTAAGTGAAATATCATAGATCGTACTTTGGATTTCAAAAGAAAAAAATTTATTATATGGGTCGAGAAAAGCATTTCTGAAATGTCCCGTTTTTCAGTTTTTAATAGCACGACGACATTAATTTGGAGCGAACTCTGATTTCATTTCTTTTTCAAATTTTTTTTCTTTTAGTTTAGCTTATACATCGTCTCAATAAACCAATTCAAATAAAAAAAGAACATGTTGAGAAAAGTGGTTTTTCTTGCTCGATTTCCTTTACATCAAAAATTTTGGTTCAGAACTTTCTTTGCTAACTGCACAGCAACTGATTATGATTAACTCCGGATTATGTTACTTTTTTAGTAAAAAAACTGGGTAGTAAGGGTTATAAGACACTTCTAGTATAGAATTTTGTGGGTGTGTTAGTTTTATAAATTTACTGCATACTGTTTTAATGAATAAAATCATAAAAATTGAAGCAATAAATCTATCTAAATCAAGTGTTTTATCTGGTTGCACATGGTATCAGAGATAGTAGTGTGATGATTTTCGTCAATTTAACCAAATTATTGTTCCGACTTTTGATACGAAAGTAACGGAATATTTGTGCTCGGGGTGGGTTTTTTTTTCTTCAGACAAATTTCGACTTTTTAACCAGCCATTTTTGACTGAATTTTTTTTTATCATTCGAAAGCTATTGTTGTCCTGAGCTCAAATTTGAAAAGACATTTCACCTGTGATCATTTTTCGAAAAGTTATGAGGTTCTAAACATTGCCATTTTGGCCATTTTGACCAATTTGGGACAATTAATGCGCGATATAATTTTCGCTAGTAACGCGTAAGAGGAGATTTAATCCGTCGTATAAACCGTTCCAAATTGGTTGAACGAAGCTTATTTGCCATAATTGATTTCTTACAAGGAACGAAATCTATCTTTTTGTACTTTATATGGCGTGTGGGGTGATGATTTTCATTAAAAAAATTTCTCATTTTATTTTATTTCAATTATTTTTTTATGTTATTACTGCTGCTCCATAAACCTTAAAAGGCAGTCGGAACATTCAGGGCTTCGCCCTGATACGAGCAGTCTTGTTGGTTTTAAAAATTGAAATTCAATTAACTCTGCTTCAAACAATCATTCCGAGTTCAAATAATTCATAACTCAAATTAGGACGAGCGGCAATAAAAATGACTCAATTAATTTGCAAGACTTTTTTATTGATGTGGGTTACTCGTTTTGTGTTAAGATTTAGAGTTAGAGCAAATACCTTAAGGGCTGGTGTTAGAGACTGAGAGAGAGTCTGAGGTCTGAACTGAGGATTGACAAGAGTTAGTGATTGTTAAAAAACAAATTGAGAAAGTGAATATAAGTGACATGACAAACTAAGCATCACAAAAGTACCAGTTAGCTAATTACTGATTAATTAATTAGTTTGTGACCACTAGTTGACCTTGTCTGAGTTTAATCAGTTTTCACCATTTTAATCAGTTTTGACCTCCACTTGTACTGTTTTGGCTCGTACTGTCTTAATCTTTCCATTGAGAATTTGCACTCAGATGATCGGAAATACGCATAAAAGGCACATAATTTTAATTTCATTCGTACATCAGTGGTTGAGCAAGGATGACTAAATTGTGGGATCGTGTTGGTTCTCACTCCCACCATTCCCATCGCAAAGGGGATCACTTAGAAGGTACCAAGTTCGTATGTGCTTAATTTTTGAAATAGTAGTTGAATTTATTGCTGGCTACTATAGTGAGGGGAGGTAGTAATAAAAACTCTAATAAGAATTTCAACATTGGAGAAAAGAGAAGTATAGGCTAATAGCTGGTCTTAAAACGCACTTAGCTTAATCAAAACTTGGAGCTTCAATCACTGAAGCGTGTATATTGTTCCGTTGAGTGCAAATACCTTTCCTAAGACACAAAGTTGTTTATCCTCTGATATGAAGGAAATGACAAACAGTGAAACAGAGCATATTCAATTTAGGGAACATCCGGCTACGTGACAAAACCAGTGGGGTTTCTTTTAAGTTGGTTTTCTTCTAGCCACCTCAATCCCATATGGACGAAACATATGGGTATTGATAGCAGTAGCGTGAGGAGGGTGAGGGGAAATTTTAACCACCCTCCCTAATTCTGATTTTTCTAAAATTGCCTTTTGAGGGGGAAGCGCGCGCCAAAATATGCAAATTTCTGGCCAAAATCTTCAAAAAAGTGTCTAAAAACATCATTTTTGTCCAGATTTCTTTCTTCAGAAATTTCAAGATTGAAAAGGAATGAAGGGGATAGCATAATAGGTCCACAATTTGTGCACTCTTAGACATATCACAGGAAAGCAGAAATTGCAAAGTGGATCAGTGTTCTGTTGCACGAAAGTTGATTCTGATTCTGATATTTTGACTTTTTGATGTGCTGAACTAACACTTGGGACTGTTTCTTTGGCGACAACTTCACTTTTCAGCAAATGACTTGCGCAGTTTTTGGTATTATTCAAATTGAAATGGTATAATAGCATGGTGCGTTTAATTTCATAATCAAGCAAGTGGAAGTTGAACCATAGACTATAATAGTAGTGCTAGTAATGCGTATAATGTATAAGAATTGGCATGTGAATCGCGAGGGGGTCTTTGAATGGGAAAGTAGAAATAGCCCTAATCTTTCCTTCCTGTTCCTTCCGTGTTGTGTTCAATGCATATCCTCTATATTTTGAGACTGAACCTGAATTCAGGACTACTACCCGCTATAAAATTCAATATCTCTTTTATGCTTTTCTTTCTCCTTTCAACTTCAACTCAACTCTGCTCTTCTCATAGACATTCCATTCCGTACAACTACCATTCCTTCAGTTTGACACTCTACACGCCATACCTGCTGCGGCGCCTAGCACATTTATTGCCCATTTCCTCCGCTTCAATTGCCCCACACTACACGTGGTATGGGCATACTACAACAATTCACTTGTTGCACTGAAAATACCCGAACAATTTTAGAATGAATTCATTCTTTGTATTTGTCTGATTTCAATTTGCCCAGAATAAAATGCATTGACGCGGCGTTGAGAGTCAATTCAATTATTATGTTCAAAGTCCCTCAAAAACCCTTTTGCAGAAAAATTAGTTCCCATTGGCAGGCTCATTTTGTAATGACTTCAGGGATCAAACGACATAAAAATACTTGGAGCCTGTAAGTTTACCCGAAACTAACATGAAAGTTGTACTTTAACCAGCTGAAGCGCTTGTGCGGGTTGATTGCCTACATACATTGGTGCCATTGGTACCTCAGTTTAGTAAATTTTCGAGTAACTCTCCAGAAATTATCATTCTGGTATAAATCCATTATGGGTTTACGGATTTATGGTTCTCATTAGATTTTGGGAAAACCCACAAAGAACAAAGCATGCTTATATACTTGACACACCACTGCAAAAGAAGCAAAAGTGCCCGATTTATTTGACACAGCCAGCAGCTCTATCGAAATATTCTGACTGTAAGAGGAGTCGCTTATTTTTGTAGTACTTCAAAACGGATTTCTTCATATAACTGTTTTTTGTTTTTATTCACATTTCAGTTTAGTTCTTAAATAATCCCCAAAATATTACCAGTCAACCTATAAGTCCCTAAGGAACGAACGAAATGCAAGTTGCAGCAAAGTTCGTCCTTTTTGATTCCCCTCGCGAATTAACTCAACCGTGGTGCCCCAATTGAACTCAACCTACAACATAGACCCCGTTGTCCAGTGAGTCGTGTTTGATCAGCCCTGGGACTGTTCCACAAAGTAGTCCAAATTGAACACAGATAGATTTCTCCACGGGGCATAGAGACTCAAACAGAGTAAAAAGAAGTTGCTGAAAGGAGTTCATATTTGCTCCGGGCTCTATTTGCTGCGCCATTGCGACTTCAAGTGCCCTGACATACCGAATAGTTTAATTATTTTTAGCCCCCAGTTCCCTTTCTAGCTAGTCTACCCAAATTGCCCCTTTTCAGGACCCAGTGGGCCTTGTATTGAGCAAGTTTATACAAAATATAGCGACACTATCGGTCCAATAGTACTACTATAATCTGTTCCCCGTGTGGACACATTCTGAACCGAAACTGGACGTAATCCAGCTGTTTGGCACGTCAACAATCGGCACATCAACCTGTATAGTAGCCCAGTACCAACTTTCCTTCACAATAATTTGCGATCTGCCATTCAGCTCCGCAGCTGGAAAGTGCCCATCAACAGAGTAGTAGCTCTGTTCTCTGGAGAATATTCCATTTGAGGTCGACCAGTTTATCCGGGTCTTTGTTTTGAACTCTTTTTGTCTAACAGCGTCTCCTTGACTGCAGGCTGGTTGTTTTTACTGCGCAATTCCGGGTCCTATTATTTTTTATGATTAGCAAATATATTTAGCTCAATTCTTGACTCTGTGGTAAGTAAGTTTTACCCTATTACTAGATTAGAATAAGAAAAATTCAGATTTTAAAATGTACAAACAAACAGTACGAAACTTTCAGAGTCATTCCCCAGAAATGCATATAGGTACTTCGTTCTTAGATTTTATAATATTTGATTTTTTAGTGCGGCAATATTTATTAGATCCGGGTTTAAAAGCTTTGATCTTTACCAGAGCCTTTAGTTTTCAAAAAGCCCTGATTTTTCTAAAAGCTATTTGTGAATAGTTGCTGTTATAATTGTGATAACGTGAACATATTTGGAAAACCTAAAATGAAATTATGCGAAGAAGAAATTTCAGACACTTTGGTGTTACTTTTATGGAAACTTAATGAAGTGTTTTTCGTGGCAAATTGACAGATCAACTCATCTATAAAAAGTTTCAGCACTTCGAAAAGCTACTAATCCAGAAGCTTCGTAATCTAAGCTTTTCGTAATCTGAAGCCATAGTACTTAAACTGGAGACTTTACTCAGTACTGGAACGCATTTTGGTATTGTTCATAGGCAATATTTTGGATTCTAAAATAGCTATCAATTTATGCTGCCACGCGCTCCTTTGCAAAAAACTTGTGCTTTTTTGCTTTTTTAACAACTAAAAGTTTTTGCTACTACTATTGTCACCTAAACTCAAATTCCAAAATTATTGAGCACAGCTTCCTTAAAAACATATTTTCCTAATTTTCTATATAAAGTAAAAATTGTTCAAAAGACCATGTTTTGATTGTTGCTTGTAATTAAATACTAATTGTGGTTCGTGCGAATCGCAGATGCGCTAGTGGCAAGCATTAACTGATCATTTGCAAGTTTTTTGGAGTTTAGAGTTATTTTGGTACCACTATTGTAACCAGAACTCGTCGAGCTTTGTTACGATCAAGCTAGAAGTCGAGTTAGAGCTCCTCCTTATTTACTATCATAGCCGCTGAGGAGTTCGAACCCTCAATCTACCGTTCCCTAGACTACGTTCCCCAATCTAACGTTCAACCTGAATTAGGAGAAAACGCAATCATAAGAATATGCCTAAACGACAGATTCTTAAACGAGTAAAGTGACAATACTTCATTGATGCCGTTTTGTCCAAGCACATTTTTTCCAAGTTAAGGGCATCAGTCAAAAGATCTACAATTTTTGGATGTTTTTTTGGATTTATCAGGAAAAGTTTGTTTTACTATAAATTCATTGACACCATGCAATGTTTGAATGCAGTATTTGATTGTTTCCGGCAGAAAAAAATTACTCAATCACAAAATAACTGCCTAAATTGATGGTCGAAAAAGTGAAATTTCAAAATATCAAGATTATTTAAACACAATTTTTTTTGCATGCTTATCTAAAGACTAGACCTTTTCAATTCACGGATCAAATTTGTGGAAACAATTTGAATTAATTTTGTCCCTAAAAGTTGTGCTAATTTATATCAAGGTGTTGAACCTCCATATTAAAACTTTAAGTCGGACATTGAATGCGTTTAGCAACCTTTTGGTTTCCAAACACGGAAAACTATCGTTTTGGATTGGCTTGCTTTCACATATCTGTAATTCAATGCTGTTTGCGTCTGTAATTCAATGCCTCGTGCTATATATTTTCCAGCTATCTTTTGGTTTTCTAAGGACACTGTCATTATGTTTTTGCTCGTCTTCATTGCGATGAGCTTCTGATTTTCAAATCAACACCAACATTATTATATACAAACAATGCTAAGTAAAATTTTGATACAGTCTCGATAAAAAACTTGAATTGTTTTAAATTTAAAACGTTTTAAATTTGAATACGTGTCAGTTCCCAATTTCGTGAAAAAACTTTTTCATCATTACATAACCTAGACTATGAAAAAATTTTAAAACTTGAATGTCAAATAATTTTAAATGATAGCTGTTCCTTAGCAAAAATTATTTTGTTGATAAGTATTGATGCAATAGCGGTTTTTATTGAAACGAGAAAAAAATTCAATTTTTCTTCGAAGCATTCGCTTGTTTTCAAAATCTAATTGTTTTGAGTTATAAGTAGGAAACTGATGCTAAAACAAGCTAGCCGACAAGAATGGATGACAAAAAGACCTAAAGAAAGTTGGCTGCTGTGATTTTTTTGCAAAAACCAAATGCAGAAAAACAAAACCAAAAAAAACTCTGATTTTGAAGCAATTTTAAGCATTAAGTAATCTTAGTTATTTGTTCGTGCATTCAAAAGTAGCAAAAAGATCAACGAAAAGTTGCCAAATTTTCTGCAATAAATTTGTTTTATCCGCTTTCACTCTTAAAATACACAGTTTGGCCAAATAAACTGTAATAATTATAACATGGTTTCTTTCTTTTTTTTTAAGCGACGGAACAAAAGCAAAGAATCATCTTACTGAACTAAGGTTTCGCAAAAATGTTGCTGACGGAAACAATTTTGGAAATGCAAAAGTTGAAATGCAAAAAAAATCATTTGGTTTTCACTCTATAACTTTGATCTAGATTATTTCAAATATTTTTGTGTGTATATTGCTGATTTAAATTATTGCTGATTTAAATTATTCAGACAAAAATAGCAACCTTCGAAAATTCAAACGCGGTTTTCCCAAATTGGGTTAGGATTAGACAAAACGTGAAGAGAACCAAAGTTGCTTCATTTTCACCGCAATTAATACGGTAAAATTTTCACCGCGAAGATTTTAACTAAGTTTTAACCCCAAAATTTTCGCGGTGATGACATTTTTTAAATAAGAAGTAATTACGCTCAAATTACCAACTTAATTGATGAGAAAATCAAAAGAAACCTCTTACATAACAATGGGTCTAGACGCGTATAACTTTCTAAAGTTTGTATAAGAAAATATCTTTTAGGTTGATAGCCAAAAATGTCATTTTTTGACTTTATAAAAATCAAAATCTTTGCTTGAAAACAAATTTCAAAGATTTACGCAAGTTTTACCCTTTATTGGGCTGTGTAAGGGGCTTTTTGATTAAAAGTTTTGGGAAAAATTGCAAATATAATAACTCTGGTGAAAACCTAAGCAACTTTCGATCTCTTCACTTTTTATCTACTCCTAACCCAGTTTGAAAAAATAGTGTTTGATTTTTCAAACTCGAATGTTTGTCGTTGTGGCCGGTCAATTTAAATCAGCATTGTGTGTACGTTTGCACTTTTCTTGATTATAAAAAACAGTGGCCTCGCTCCCGCTTGATACCAAATACATTAGTCATATGCGTCAAGTTGGTAAAGACTAGATAATTTCTATTAATTTCAAAAGCGCGTAATCAGGTACTTCGAAGCTTTTCACTTTTACAAAAATCTCGCCGATTTTTGTTGGCTTTTTGTGACTGGATTCAATTTTGAGTCCAGGTTTTTTCGACTACAGATTTGGTTATCCTAAAAGAAAGCGCTCTATTTTTTTTTCACTTATAACCTGGTCGCTGGACAACTGTCTTTTTATCGAGTCCGCTGGTTTAATCCGGAGGCCGCTTCCCTCGTGCTAGGATTTGGCTACGTAAAAAGGAATTAAGAGAGAAGGTACAAATTTTAAGCGTAATTGCTGCTGAATATTCACTTCTTCTTCTCTTGTTCTGTTCTGTTGTGCAGTACGTAGTGCAGCAGCTATTCTTGCTTCTCTGTTAGGTCCATATTGCAATAAATTTTAATAAACCCCTCGGATAGATTAAGCTGAAGCTTTTATATCCCTATTTCTCCCCACAGGCGGCTGATGCTGCTGATTCGGTTCCACTTACCTCTTTCTAGCTCTACCTCTTGGTCTGTTTTACTTATTCTCGTGCATTATGCTCTCATCCGCCCTGCCGGATATTCGAACTTGATTACTCCGCCAATTAGTTTAGGATATCATCTAACCAAACTATTCGCTCATAGTACTCACATGATTCCCTCTCAAAATCCTTCAGCTATAAGCTCTCTGATCTTTTAATGTTTCTATCATTGATGTGCATAAAAAGTGAAATTACTTCAGTACAGGTAAGCCGGTTTTGCTTCATGGTTGTACGCTGGTGCCATTAAAATTTTAAAAATCTTGTTTTGCATGCCCAGAACTTTCTTGAAAACCAAAAAAAAAAAATGTTTTTTCTCTTTCATTGACCCATTGTAGATGATGTGAAATCTATGAAGTGTCGAAAAAACCTTCAACTTCCTAGCGTTACAGTCATTGCAACAAAAGAAGAAAGCATTTTGCCTGAACTTCTGTCAATATTTTGAAAAAAAATTCCCTAAAACGACATTGCGCATTAAAAAATTTTTGGCAGAGTAAGTTCCTCATAGTGTTTGGGTGAAAGCATGGAAACCGTTTTGACGACCATTTCTAAATCGATTAAAATCTATTTTTGCCAACGTTTTTGGTGTCATTTTATACAGATTCTATACAGATTTTCTCGGTTATCTCGGTTAGACTTTCTGGGTTATCAAAGAAAAAAGTTTGGAAATTAAATTATACGGTATGATCAAATTAACAAAATCAATATTGTTGAGTTTTTGATGGTTTTCACTGCCCTAAAAAAAATTCATGTAAATCGACTTAAATTGATTTTCTAGGCAAAAAATCGATTTTGAAAAAAATTCCATTCAATCAATTTTAAGTCAATTTACGTATCTAAATAAACTATCGTAAATCAATTTTCATAGTTTATATTGTCTGCAGAAAAATAGTTTGAATTCGGTTGCAATCTCAAGTTTGACAAGGCGGGAAGAACAATTTGATAAACCTACAGCATAGATCCTCAAATTTTTTGAACATTTTTTTTCCAAACTTACACCCCTCGAAAAAATCTAAAGTCTATGCGAGCTCTGACTTACAAAAATACAAATTTTAAAACACAGCTTCATCTTTGTTGCATAAAAGAGTAATTTTGTTTTATATTATAGCTCTTCACTTCCCGGGTTGACCTCCATAGACCAAAAATGCTAATCATACAATTCCATAAACTAAGTCTATGAAAAAATACTAATCATACAAGTTTCATACATTTCGCTAAAATGGTGTCATCGAATTTTCGAAGAACTTTTTTCTTGTTTTGGCATAAATTTTGGTGTATCTTACTAAATAAAAAAGAAAAACTTTTTGTCAAAAAAAATGCTAATCATACAATTTCATATATGGAAATTGTATGACAAGCATTTTTTTGACAAAAAGTTTTTCTTTTTTATTTAGTAAGATACACCAAAAGTATTTTTGAAATTGCCCCCAAACATTTTTTGTGTTTTTCTTAACCGCAAAACGATTTTCGTACTCAAACAAACATTTTTGAGTACGAAAATTTAATTTTTTTTTGTGTGTATAACGTAGTCCTGGATATACTCATATTGGATTTTTTTTTTCTTTTCTCTTGATAACATTTTTCAAAAATGCTCAAGACTCCTCTTTTTTGTATGGCATGTTTTTGTATGCCTTGATCAATGTCTGGTAATTTGAAAATTCAAATTTTAGAAATAATCATCTTTGAAAATTTTTGCCAAAATTTAAAACTTTGATACTTTCGTTATATTAATTGCGTGAGACAGAATTAAGACTTTGCAGGCTGTTTCCAAAGCATTGTTAATGCGAGACGGCCAAACCTTTGGCTACTAAGCTTGAGTAACCAAGGTTTATGTCATTTGTGTTCGGTTACGAACACAACCAAAAAATTTTGAGAAATTAAAATGTAAAAAATCAATATTTTTGGTTTACGGAAAAATGAAGTCATACAATTTCCATATATAAAAAAATACTAATCATAGACCTTTCATGCAATTTCTGTACGTATGGAATTGTATGGAAAGTGTATGACTAGCATTTTTGGTCAACCCGGGTTGCGCATTGAAACTTGTATAGAATCATTCGCATTTTGTAATCAATCGTAAAGTACAATATTGTTTACTAAGGGTTACTAACGTTATAAAGCTTTTCTCAGTTATTTATGTTCCGACCATTGAAAATGGGGAAGAATTTTGTATTCGGTTGAGTTTTTTTTTGCTTTTGTTTACCAAGAAAAAAAAGGTACCATAAATAATGATCGGACTGGGTTGAGTGACATATATTGAATTATTCAATACTTCACTATATGCTAAATTTATCTTTTTTTACTTTACATAGCGATCATTTAAACAAAAACATCAAAAAGATTATTTGATTTTTTTTTATTTCATCGATCATTTAATTGTATATTACACCATGGATATTAAAAACTAGTCGGAATATTCACGGCTTGGCCCTGATACAAGCAGTTTTGTTAGATTTCTACATTTTGAAGTTTTTGACATAATTTTTATTTTTATATCATCTGATTTATATTGATGTCACAAACTGAAAACTGAAAAAATCACCTGCAGATTTTATTTGTAATTCTAAGGATTTCAAAAACTTTGGTTTCCCACACGAAATACGCACCAAATGATTGAAAATGAAAAAAAAACCACCAAAAATGAATATTCAAAGATCTTAAAGAAATCTCTGAAGCTCAATAAACCGAAGAGATTGAAATCAACAATCGCTGACCATAAAGTAAACGTATAATGCGATTCGATTAATGCATGCAATTCCTGAGACACGATATGAGTATGAGATTGCTATGCAATAGTGGGCGCGAAGCGCGCCATGACCCAGTTCACTGGAAGATAGTATTAATTCAATTCTCAGGAAGATAGTATAAATTTTGTTAATTTTGTTTTGTTGTTTTATACAAAGGTTCAGCAAAATTTTTTTTTGCAGTTGTGGAGTATTCTGATTGATTAAAAATTTTCATCGTTCGATTTTCTCTATAATTTGAAAATCCACTTTTGAAAGTTGTCAATTAACCATTTTGGGATTATTAAAAAGCAATACATATTACACGAGCAATACTCTGAATTGTGGAATGCGTTTCGGTCATAAGCGGACATGGTTTGACGACTCAAAATATCAAAAACGGATATCTTTTGACTCAAGGAGTCGAAAACTGACATCCGTCACTCCTGTATTTTCGCCACTCCTGTAATGAACATTCAAAAAGCGTAAAAATTGATGCGCATTTCCTCGACTGTTAAATACTGAAATATTTTAAACGTATTTCTGCTGCAAATAGAACCAAGTACTTCAATTATCTTCCATTATCCATCAATCAAATCTGTACGGTGTTAGTAGACAACTGTATCTCTACTCCTGAATTCAATGCTCCTCCGCGCTGCATAGTGTCCAACAGTAAGTGGTCTGACTGTTATATCGACAGCGCTCATTAAAAACGCTAATGCTACGAACCCGTTTTTCAATTAAGTCCGCGTCCTAGATTCCAAAATTTGCTGAATGTTCCCAAAGTGTTCAAAGTATATTGGTCTCTTTGCACAGCAACCAATTTTTTTTCTGCAAACTTTATTGCCATTAAAATTATTGTCTCAATGAATATTAAAATGATTAAAATTTGAGTTATCTGTGACGTATTCATTCAAAATTCATTGAAGATCGGCCCATAGTTAGAAAGTAAACTTAACATATTTCGCTTACAGCAAATAACTTTGATAGCCAGCCACCCCATTGTCCTAATTGAGTTCTCGGTCAATATAATTTAAATTGCTCATCGATCTTCAACTATTTGAACTCGGGCGTAAATGACTTCGCTCCAGTATTTGCACCAGTTATTTCACCTCATCAATTGTCATACCTTCAATCTAAAAGTTTAGAAAATTTTATTTGGTTTGTGGATGAAGTTATTTCATGAAGTTTTGGTAGCTGAAGAGTGTTCATTTCATTTAGGAGCTTTATGTTCGAGTAGTCTCACCTCACCAGAAAAAAAAGTTTAAAAACCGAATTTCATTTTCTGTTTAGATTATAGAACTAAGTGTGTTCCACTTCGTCCAGCAGCAATGAAGGAACTGAAACCAGACTTGATTCTGGTTGCTTCCCTTGTTATCTGTTCATTCACTCTCTTAGCTCTCCCAGTCAGCACTCAGTCCAACTCGACACTCGCTATCACAAAAGTAGTAAACAAATGCTCAGTCGAGGGGGGATGTAGACCAGAGCAGGAGGGTCTAATCGTACCTCTTTGGAAACCCCTAAAGGTGAATTTGGTCGAAAAAATAGCCCGTGGAATTGTATATTTCCTAGTCCTTAGCTACCTCTTCCTCGGAGTCTCAATCGTTGCAGACAGATTCATGTCGGCTATTGAAATGATTACATCACAGGAACGAGAAATCACAATCAGGCGCCCAAATGGCGAAGAGACTGTAGTCACTGTCCGTATATGGAACGAAACAGTTTCAAATTTAACCTTAATGGCACTTGGTTCCTCGGCTCCTGAGATCCTGCTGTCAATCGTTGAGATCCTAGCCAAGGACTTCAACGCAGGAGACTTGGGTCCGGGAACTATAGTGGGATCAGCGGCCTTCAATTTATTCTGCATTATTGCTATCTGCGTTTACGTTATACCTGATGACGAGGTTCGAAAAATAGAACATTTGCGGGTATTTGTTGTGACAGCCTCCTGGAGTATTCTGGCATACCTCTGGCTATACTTCATCATCTCTGTCTCTTCAGTGGGAAGAGTAGACGTCTGGGAGTCCTTGCTGACCTTTGCGTTCTTCCCTATTCTAGTATTCTTGGCTTACATCACAGACAGGAAGATTTTCTTCATGAAATTTCTTGAGAAGAGATACATCGCCAAATCAGCTTATAATAAAAAAGCAGATCTGGAAATGCAATCGGAAAAATCGCCGAATTATTCGAATCACCACTTAGGGAGTCATACAACTCTCGACGATGACTTGGACCCGAACGCCGGCCAGAAGCGAGAATTCATGAAAAAACTGCACGAGTTAAGGACCAAGAACCCCGACATGCCTGAAGAGAAACTGGAACAATTGGCAGCCTACGAAGTGGTACAGAGCCAGCATAAAAGCAGAGCCTACTACAGAATAATGGCAACCAGAAAGATGACCGGGGCCGGTTAGCTGTTTCCACTATTTTAAAAATTATTGTTCGAACTAATATAACAAAAAGGTAAAGATTAACAATTCATTTCCTCGTGAAAGTCTCTGAGCAATGTTTTTTTCATGATTTTTTTATCTGATCTGTTTTTATCTGTCATTTTTGGCTAATCGTTTGGTGGTGAAGTTAGCAAATATGGTGGATTGCTTAAAGACTATGGTCGCAGTCGAAAGGTCGGTGGTTCCAGGTTAACCATGAGCTGTGCTCGTCGCTTGAGCGGTTCTAGACAAAGCGACAATTTTTAAAGAGTGAAGTGACAATTCGTAACAAGGCTTTGGAAAGTATTGACCGCGAGCTCCGCTGCGCTTACATTTGTCACAAGAGGAATAGTGCGCGAGAATTTACTGTAACGAGCTCTCGCCTGGTCCGTATTATCACTTGGTGCGAATTGACACTTATATGGAAAAAGCGAATTGCCGCTTTCGAAAAGTTACGCTTGCATGGCCTGAGAATGGGGCAACTATCCTTAACCTAGTAAAAAAGAAAAAGTTTTTAAGGAATGGCTCATCATAAACGGCTCCAAGTTGGTCTTTTTCATCAATTATGAATGGTATTCAACTCAATTCAACAATTTATTTTTGTCTCAGTCTCTGTATATTTTTTCAGGCAATGCTATCAAACGAAACATAGAGAAGAAGGTGCACGGATTGGACTCCCACGTCGAGATTGACCGGAGGGCTCGTGTGTTCTTCGACCCCTCAGAGTACACCGTGATGGAGAATGTGGGCTCATTCGAAGTGGACATTGTCAGGGTGGGTGAGGACCTGGACTACTACACCATTGTGGATTTCGAAACAGTCGACGGTTCGTTCGCTCAATTCCTATTCCATTAATATCTAGCATAATAAAATCAGAAGTGGATGTAACTTGATAATGATGGTTGAGGTGGAATTGTTCAGGTTTTCGGCGCACTCACCATCGAAAAATTTTAAGGTTATAAGGTTATAAGAATAAATTTCGGTAAACCTATAGTTTACCTAATTTAATTTTAACTCTGCTCCTTATTTTAATTCAATATCCTACTTGAGACGGTCAACACTTCCATTTGTACAGGAACTGCAATGAAGGGTGCAGACTTCCACTTCGCCCAGGGGTCACTGAGGTTCGCCCCGGGGGAGAAAGTGGCCACAGTCACTCTGCACATAGTAGATGATGATGAGTTCGAGGAGGACGAACACTTCAAACTCAAGATATTCAACATCCGAAACACCAAAGTAAGCATGGCAAGCAACTCAAACCATACACTGCATTGTGCTTGAAAAATGACAATGAATGCTAATTTTGAAAATTATCTTGCTCAAATCTGATCATTTTTCAAAATCACCTTCATTAAATCGGCACATCAAAAACGGTGTCCGGTCAATATGATGACAGCTGTTAAGTCAACCGCTTTTGGTCTAAATCATCAAGTAGCGCTGTATCGAGTTGCATTACTCCAGGAGAGTGTCCAAACTGGTTTTAGGCTCAAGGCATTTATTATCGGATCAAAGTTTTAAAAGATGCTTGTATCAGCGCGAGGCCCTGAATGTTCCTGTTGCTCTTTGACATCTACAAAATATTTTTTGATTTTTCGAAATTGATGAAGTTTTCAACAGTATTTTCAATAATTTTAAATAGATTTGTGAGCCCAATTAAATCACAGATTGCGCGTTAATAGCATGAAATATATTGAGCGTTGAATATAGCCCAAATTAGGCCACATTGGCTTCGTTGCCCATAGCTGGCAACCCCCATAACTTCACGAAAAATGACGGAAAATAACAAATAATACAAACATTCTTGAAAATTGAGCTGAGGTGGTCAATTCTTTGCAGATGGTGTATAAGTTCCGATCAATATTAGCTACTAAAAAACGAGCGCAAATTTTCTATCCTTGCTTCGAAAAACGAATTAAGAACAAAAGCAAATTGAGCATTGGGTGATATCAACTCTGGTCATCAAATTATTTTTCTGGACTTATCTTTCATAGCCAGATTTTTTTTGTGTCTTTTTGAGTGTGACTCTCGTTGTGTCTCAGAACCCAACTCAGAAGGTGGAGTCCGACAGTTCCATCGGGTGCATCTTGGGGGAGGAGGGGGATGGAGCGGCGGAGCTGGAGTGCCTGGTCACCATTCTGGATGATGACCACTGTGGCGTGTTCGCATTCGAGCACGAGGATTTCACTGTCAGCGAGAACTGCGGCGAGGCAAAAATCAAAGTCTGCAGGAGCTCAGGTAAAACACAACAATCAAAGATTTCAAATTTTTATGCGAGATACGACGATACACTATTATTACTATTTTCAATTGCATATATAATGCAAAATGAAGTTTTGAAGTTGTTATGAGTTTTAAAAAAACTTAATCGTGCGAAGAGGGAGCTCCTCCGCTAACCAATTTCGGGACTCATCGAGTAACACTATTCGGAGCGGAGCCAAATTGGCTGCTCAAATTTGATGCTTCAAAAATAAGATTTAGCTCTCCTATTGAGAACAAAAGCCCAGAATACAACTGAGATGAATTTTATTAGGAGCAAGGGGTAATGTGCACGTGCCTTACATGACTATCAGTGGCACCTCCAAGGGAGGGGGAGTGGACTACCTAGACTCATTTGGAGACCTGGAGTTCAAGAATGACGAGACTTTCAAATACATCAGTGTGAAGATCATAGACGACGAGGACTATGAGAAGCATGAACACTTCTTCCTCGAAATTGGACACCCCAAAAAAGTGGCTGCAGTGGACAGCAGTGGCAGGGCCATCTACGATGAAGACTTCTCACTGGTACGTTTTTATTTACAATTCATTAATTTAAAAAAACAATTAGTTTGCAAACGGAAGCAAGTAGGATAGCATGCGAAAAAATCACTTCATGACATCTAGCAACAGTTACTCCTTTTTTTCTTCTTGTTTTGAGTATGTACTCGGCGCCAATATATACTAACTTTGAGGGGGAGCGCGCGCCAAAAAAAATGCGATTTTTTTGTCAAAATTTTTCAAAAAGTGCCTAAAAACGGCTTTTTTGACCTGTTTTTTCAAAAATTTGCCTGCGGCGCAGAAAACTTGGCCAAAACAGGGACCTTTTAGTGCTTTAGAAGAGCTCGAAAATCAATTTGGTCGAGCTAAAAAAAAGGTCATCAAAATTTTCGAAAATTTTTTGAAAATCCGCCCCCCCCCTCGAAAAAATCCTAGATCCGCCCCTGTATTTAGAAAGAAAGCTGTGTCTCACAAGCATTTAAAAAAAATAATGTTGGCAGGTTGCAGTCTTCTAGCAAAACTCGCTGGTGCACCGCTGCGTCCCGGATAACAGCGCCTTCTTTTTATCTTGTAAAATAACATCTCTGATTAGGACGAGGAGAAAATGAGCGACAACCAAGTGATCGCACTGGCGGGCAGACCCAAGCTGGGCATAGTGTCCAAGTGCCAGATCAATATAGTCGAGAGCCAGGAGTTCAAAGGAGCAGTGGACCGACTGGTGAACAACACCAATATGGGGGGACTCCTGGGGACCCATTCTTGGAAAGAGCAGTTCAAAGACGCACTCACTGTCTCGGCTGGGGACGATGACGATGATGATGGTGGCGATGGCGGTGAAGGAGAGGATGGTGAAGAAGGTGGTGGAAAACAACCCGGCTGCTTCGACTACGCCATGCACTTCCTAACTGTGCCATGGAAACTCCTGTTTGCCTTCATTCCCCCCACCGATTTGATGGGTGGGTGGGCTTGTTTCGTATTCAGCATTGTGGGTATCGGGCTACTCACTGCCCTGATTGGAGATTTAGCCAGCCATTTTGGATGCACTGTCGGTCTTAAAGATACTGTGACGGCTATATCATTCGTGGCACTCGGAACCAGTGTGCCCGACACTTTTGCCTCCAAAACTGCCGCTGTCGGAGATCAAAATGCCGACGCGTCAGTCGGCAATGTCACAGGCTCTAACGCCGTCAACGTGTTCCTGGGAATCGGCATTGCGTGGAGTATGGCCGCCATATACCATGCGGTCAAGGGTACTCCGGGTGGTTTCGCAGTGGATCCAGGCAACCTAGGGTTCTCAGTCACTACCTTCTGCATCTTAGCCTTACTGTGTATTGCCATTCTGATGTTCAGGAGATACTACACGCCAATCGGAGCTGAGTTGGGAGGACCTCGACTGGCCAAAACGATCACTAGTGTTGTTCTGGTCGGACTCTGGGTCCTGTACGTCATTCTTTGTGCTCTTGTGGCCTATTGCGTAATCGAGGGGTTCTAATTTTATTCATAACTAAGAATCAGGTTCATCAGAGTCCACTCGAAGAAGAAGCATTAATTAAACAATGAAACAATTTTCAACAGACTGAGTTGAAATTTGTTTAAGCTGCCAATTTGACTTATTTAATAACAACTTCATGCATTTTCACAATCGCTTTCTACACCACTTAAATTTTATTTATGCTCTTTTAATTAAATTTTTCTTCCGAGTTTTTCTTTTTACTTGAATTAATTCCCTTGTGGATAGGTTAGTTTTGTCTGTATGGAACAGTTTGCCAATATTGTATGGGAGGACTTCAAATTGGCAGTTAACAGACATCCATCAAATCAAACTCATTGCGCTGCTAATAATTGTTGCTATGAAAGAAGTGACAATGAAACCTGTGAAAACAGGAGCTCACAAAAAAAGACCTCTTAACTCTGAATGAAAGTGAGGACTCTGAAAGCCATTTTTTTCGAAAGATTTCACCTTTGATATTCTTTTAGGACGGTAAATAAATGCTCACTAGCCATCAAAAGCTCTTAAATATTTTCGATTTACTAGTAAACAATTATTACTGTAAGATTACTGGTCTTCATTGCATGATGCACTCGGGAACGTTTTATTGAGATTCGAATCATGATTAATTGATAAAAACTGATAACCGGGTCGAGGGTCTTAAAGACTCCCAACTAATTATCGCTACGGAGAAGTTGCGGATAATTTCGAAAAAAAAATAAGTAAAAACATTAAACATCACCTTTTTGAAAACATCCCATTACCCATGTTGAGGTTTGTGATTTATGTATTGATGGACTCGGCGAAATTTTGGTATATTTTAACCATCTCGACCCAGGCTCGATATGTTTCGAGCGACTCGACCCAAGATGCCTATGTTTCGACTGTGCTCGACCTATGTTTCGTCTGTGCTCGACCTAATTTTCGACTGTGCTCGACCTAGGTTTCAGTTGTGCTCGACCTAAGTTTCGACTGTGCTCGAGCTATGTTTCGACTGTGCTCAACCTATGTTTCAACTGTGCTCGACCTATGTTTCAACTGTGCTCAACCTATGTTTCGACTGTGCTCGACCTATGTTTCAACTGTGCTCAACCTATGTTTCGACTGTGCTCGACCTATCTTTTGACTTTCTCGACCTATGCTTCGACTTTTTCGGCCTATATTTTGAGTTTCTTGACCAAAAACGGATAGGCTTTGACTGCGCTCGACATATGTTTTGACTTTATTGATCAAATTTGGGTATTTCGACTGTGCTCGACATATGTTTCGACTGTGCTCGACATATGTTTCGACTTTCTAGACCAAAAATGGATATTATGTTTCAACTGCTCGACATATTTTTTGACTTTCTCGGCTATCAAATAATGTCCCAAATGAGAGAAAAATTAGAGCTGTTTTTCCCTTCGCTAATTGATAGCGCCGAAAAAACTCCCTGTTTTCAGGAAAAAAGACTCTGAGTTTTGCTTTGATTTTGCTTTCAAAACACTTTTTTCGAAAAATTTCTTTCGTTTCACAAGCAAGGTTTTGGTTTATTGAAGCTATTCAATTTGTGATAGGTAGCACAAAATTGTAACTCTAACGATATACTTCATTAAGTTGAATTTTTTTCACCCATGCTTCTGAATTTTGTATAATTTTCTTTGTATTTCGGACAAAACAACATTACCCATAAAATCTGACATAAATAAACCGGACAAAAAAATGCAGCAAAAATTTCTACTACTTTCTCTCAACTTTTACCAGAATTTTGGAAGTGCAATTAGTTTTCGAAAAAAAATCAAACTGAAATAAAATCTTCAAACGGGTCAATAAATTTGATTTAAAATAAAAGAAGGAAATGGTAAATTGTTAGCTTCTTTTACTTTGAACCAAATGATTTGTTCGTTTTAAAGTTGTATAGTAAAGGATTCAAATTTTTTGTTCAAAGTGAACCCGAGTTAAAAGAAACGACTTTGAAACTTGTTTTAATTCGTTTTCTTCGGTTTGTTTAAGTAAGCCTAAATCAATTAGAAATGGTTAGTCGCAAAATCTATTGAAAATTCTATAAAACGCGAAAAACTGCGCTTCAATTAAGATCTCAATTAAGTTACGTCAGATCTCATCAAAAATTGGCAAATGTTTGCTGCCTTTTGCAAACATAATTATTGCAATAACCCAAATATTTGTGAAATGAAAGAAAACTCAATAAAACTCCAAATGCAAAACAAAACTCTAAGAAAATATCTTTTAGATAGTTTCTCAGTTGATGAAATTTTTTTCTATTGCAGAAGTTGTTTTCTTTCTTCACAAAAAAAGAGAACAAAAATGAATTATACAAGTCAAAACGACTCTAGATTTGACATGATCATTTCATGATACTATGATTTTGAGATTTCTTAAAGTTGGTGTCCTGTATTTTGCTCAAATTAGGTGTTAGTCAGAAAAATAATGGCAAAAAGCAAAAACGCGGAAACTTCTTCTTTGAAAATCATAATTTTCATTGTACAATATCAACAATATCAAATAATTGTTTTTTTTAGCTTTGAATTTGGTTTTTGTACATGGAATGCACATAAAAATGACTGCACATTGCTTTAAAAACAACAAATTTTTGCCGTTTTTATGGAATCAATAAATCTAGATTCATCGATCGCAATTTTTTTCGGAGCTATAAAAAGCAATATAAGTTTAAAACAGCTAGGTTTTAATAATCGCGTTTACTCTTTTCATACAAAAACATGACTTTTTTAGCGTTCATTGTAAGTATAACTTCATGTCTTGTGCGCAGTGTTTTTTCTTAAAAATGGTTTGTAATTTTTTAAACAAAAGGATTCATGTGCATCTTTCGAAATTCTCTAGAAATGATGAGAATTGTTTCATTACAATGTTTTAATAAAATAGATATGAGTTAGTTTTCAGCTCTTTAATGTATAATTAATTTTGCCCTGATTTGAAGAAAATAATTTGAAAAGATGATAATTGACACGGAACGTGTTTTAGTTTCAAACGGTCAGCACTTTTTAGTTAAAATAAAAGAAAAACAATTCTTTTGCTGTATATATTCTTAATGATTTAACATTTGCAAATTGAAAAATTTCAACTTAATTATGATCTACATCGTTGTTGGATACTCACTCGCACATATCTGTTCAACTTTAACACTGATCGGATTATGTTCTTTCATACAACTGATAGAGAATAGTTCTAAACAAGACTGCTCGTATCAGGACAAAATCCTGAATGTTCCGACTGCCAATTAATTGGTCTCGAATCAATTTTGATATATGTAACATTGACAAACTACAAGTTTTAAGCTGATCAAAGTGTTAAAATTTGAGTCAATTATGGAATTAATAAGACCAATTAGCATGCATCAGTTCAATTTTAAACGATTTTTAGTGCGGATAATTTGCCAGGCATAAATTAAAGAATGATTAAAATATATATCTAAGTAATATTTCGGCAGCAAGGCCGCGCCAGCAAGATTTCAAGATTTCCGGATCGATGCCCATATGCGGTCAAAAAAACACCCGGGAATATATACTCCTCATTTACTTCAAAAATCGGAACAAAAAAAGATACCCATGCAACAAGAGCATTTGAACCACTTTGTGTTCCAAATACTAAAAACGTAAAAAGAGTTTGGGTTCTCAATTTTCGAGCTATCGTGATGTGTCGCACAAAAACTTATTCATAAGATACTCTGGATCAAAGATTCTGTCAAAGTCGAAATCAGATAACCCCCAACAATTTAACCCCTTTTTAAAACCAATTGTTGAAATCAAAGTGAAAGTTACTTGAAAAAGATTCGGAACCATATCGTCGGTAAACATCAAAGCCATATTTGCGAAAAATTTTGCGAACTAAAATGAGTTAACATGCACGCTGCTAAATGCGTTTTAGATTTGAACAGAAATGGCCTTGCCGATAGTCTAGACTTTGATAAGAACTTGAAAACCAATCCGACCGACATGATTCAAGTTGGTGCATATACAAAACAGTCCCACACAAAAGAGTCCGAAACATCAAAAAAAGGTTCTAAAAACAGTCCCATACAAAACAATCCAAAACCATTTGAAATTCTTGACCTTGATCTTTTGGCGCCGACAGAATTGATCTACGCTTTGAAAACTCAAACATGGGCTTAATTAAAGATCAAAGAACCAAAGTTAGAAGAATATTTCGGAAGACAACCAAAAGCCTCATGGTATAGTGGTTAAAGCGTTAGTCTCAAAATCTAGAGATTAAAGGATCGAATCCCTGGCAGCACAAAAATTTTTCCAATTTTCCCAAAAAAATTTGAATTTCGGGTAAATATGATAACGGGTATATCAAGGGTACAATAAATGGGTTAACCTTAGAGGGTTGGGCGGAGGAAAAAGAAAAATCAACACCTTGTATTTATTCAATATTTTGCCGGTTTCAAATCGACTCTAGCTAAATTTTGAAACATCAAGGAAATATTTAAACTTGGAAAAGAAGCGCGGCATTTATGGGTTTTGTACTTTGAGCAGTTCCAATTTGTTGTTGTCTTGTTTTTGCGTTTAAGATAATACTCGTGGCCTGATACCACTTTCATTTGTTTGTCTTTCGAAGATAAAGTAAAATGTAGTGACGCTTCAAACATTATATCTGATCTGATAGAGTGGTATAACAATAGTTAATGAAATAGGCAGTATGATTTTTTATAAAACTCACAAACGTCTTTTGTTGCCTTCAATTAGCACCATGCATGTTATCTCTGTTTTAAACGCGTGAGTGAGGGATTATTTCTCTTGCTAATCGAAATGCAATTATTTTTGAGATGCGAGAAGCATCAAGTGAATTAAAAGTAGCTTTTCAGGCCTCAATTAGTAAGCTTAATTGTACTACTCCTGTACTTATAAAAAAGAATTAATTTGAAACAAATTATCGTCATTAAAAGGGTGTTAAATTGTTGTGGGGTTATCATGTTACGGAGTTATAATATAGGGGGTGTAAACAGAGGGGGTTAAATATCGTAGAGTTAATGAGTGGGACACCGAGTTAACAATATTGGTACCAGTCTTCCAGGAAAGGTGGTCGATTGAGAAGAGTTATCCATTGCGCGAACCGATTTAACGACTTCCGATTCGGAAGAAAAGCAGATAATAAAACTGCCAAGAAGACTCAAGGTCAAAACTCCGTCAGCTCATTTTCTCTACTCCATTATTTTTGCGTATATCTCAGGCTCATTTTGCACAATTTCTATTGTTGCAACTTATGTTTTTTGTCTCGAATTTCGATACGAAAGTAACGGAATATTTGTGCTCGGGGTAGGTTTTTTTTCTTCTTCAGACAAATTTCTACTTTTTAAGCAGCCAATTTTGACGGAATTTTTCTACATCATTCGAAAGCTATTGTTGTTCTGAGCTTACATTTGAAAAAATATTCCACCTGTGATCATTTTTTGTAACGTTATGAGAGTTTAAAGATTGCCATTTTGGCCAATTTGGGACAATTAACGCGCGATATATTTCGCGCTATTAACGCGTAAGCGAGATTTAATCCGTCTTAGAAATCGTCCCAAATTCGTTCAAGGAAGATGATATGCCATAATTGATTTGTTAATGGGAACAAAATCTATCACTTTGTACTTAATATGGCGTGTGGGGGGATGTTTTCACAAAAAATCTCAAATTTTTAGAATTTCTTTTTTTAATTTTACTTCATTACATTTAAATTTTCCACAATATTACTGCTCCATAGATCTTAAAGGGCAATCGGAACATTCAGGGCTTCGCCTTGATACGAGCAGTCCTGTTTTTCCGACTTTCGATACGAAAGTAACGGAATATTTGTGCTCGGGGTGGGTTTTTTTTTTCTTCAGACAAATTTTGACTTTTTAACTAGCCATTTTTGACGGAATTTTTTTTTATATCATTCGAAAGGTATTGTTTTCCTGAGCTCAAATTTGAAAAGATATTTTACCTGTGATCATTTTTCGTAAAGTTATGGGGGTTTAAAGATTGCCATTTTGGCCAATTTGGGACAATTAACGCGCGATATATATCGCGCTATTAACGCGTAAGCGGAGAGTTAATCCGTCTTAGAAATCGTTCCAAATTGGTTAAAAGAAGCTTATTCCCCGTAATTGGTTTGTTACATGGAGCAAAATCTATCCTTTTGTACTTTGTATGGCGTGTGGGGGGATGATTTTCATAAAAAATTTCAAATTTTAGAAAAAAAAACTCGAAAATTTTTTTTTCTTACATATAATTTTTTAATGTTATTACTGCTCCATAAACCTTAAAACGCAGTCGGAACTTTCAGGGCTTCGCCCTGATACGAGCAGTCTTGTTTTATTTGTAATGGTTACGCTTGCAAATTTTTCATGTTCAGAATCAGTCGATTTCTGACTCGTAAAACTTTTCCAAAGAAATAATAAAAAAGGAATTTTGAAGCATGACTGGTTTAGAACTGAATCAAGTGTGACCAAGAATGTTCAGGTTGATTCAGGGACATTCAGCAATTTTCAGGGATGAATCAGGGATGTGCAGGGATGCTCAGGTGTAAAACATGGACGATTCAGGGATTTTTTAGCGATGCCACATCGATGTATTTTTCGGCGCTAAATCAGGGATGAAACAGTCATGCTCATCTCGACGGAGAGAGATTGAATCAAAGATGGAAATAATCAGCGATAATTATCCATGGGAGCCCAACCCGGGTGGGCTAAAATATATCTGCGCTAATTATGGCCGATAAGCACGTTACTTCATGTTTTAAAAAGTTGTAGTCAGCCTTCTATGCTACTTGAACAGCAACCGCCAATTCTTGTACTTCAAATTTACTTTGGTTTATCAGTATTTTCGAACTTGTCATTATTTTCATAATATTGGAATCATTATTTAATTTCATTTACTCATCGTTTAAAGATTGTATTCGGTAGTTTAGAGTTCAAACAGAGACTACAATTTGGGGTTAGGCGAGGACAGTTCTGAACAACTGGTTGTAGTTGACGGCCCCGCTCATCTGTGAGTCGCCACAGCAGTCGGCCAACTCCAGCAACTCACTTTCGGTTAGATTGACATTGAAGGCCACGAACACTTTCTTGAGAGTGTTTAGATCCACTTTGCAGCTGTTGTCTCTGTCGAATCTCTTCAGCTCTCGCCTCATCTCCTTCCACCTGTTTGTGCCGCCTGCCACTTGGGCCCTCAGTTTCCGCAGCACTTCAGCCAGTCCCATGTCCACTTCAACCTCCCTCACTCCTCGGCTCGTATCGTCAGCGTGCGTGAGCTGAACAGAAATGCATCAGTTTGAATTACAGAAACTTTTTTGAACTTTTTTTAGCAAATCAGTCAAGAAAAATTTGAAAGCTTTTTTTCAGCTCACGGATTTCATCAAAAATCAACAAAATCTGTGAGTTGAAAAGAAAAAAAAATGATGAAGCTTTTCGTATTTGTCAGACTTTTTGGTGACGGGAACATGGTTTATAAAAAGCTCAAGGTTGCTCATTGGAAAAAGAAGTTTAGTTTCTGACCTCGTGATCTGATTTGTATCGGGCAAATGAAGTCTGGGGTCTCTTCGTCTCCTTTTCTTGCGCCGTGGTTCCATTTTTCATGGACAAGACGAAGTGGCGCGTAAATCTGGTATAGTCAAACCTGAAACAAAAAGAAATTAATTTCAAGGATTTCATCATAGTATTTTCTGCATATTATATCTGGTATTCAGTCATAATAGAGTCCATAAATCGTAAATATGAAAGTTAAAGAAAGATTTGAATGGATCAGAAAAAAATAATGTATTTCGTAAGTTTGTTCTAGAGCAGGATATCCAGAATCAGTAAGCCAATTCTTCCTGCTTTTCTGAAGGAGCGACATGCCTAAGAATTCGTTACCTTTCAGTGCCGTCAGTGGAGGCGAACTTGCAAGAGAGCTTCTCAATTTCTTCGTCAGTCAAATCGGCTGATGTCAATTTTTTCAGATATGCTGAAACAATCAATACATAATGCAGAATCTTGAGATGAAATGATAAGGAAAACTAAAAACCTTGGTTTTAACATCTCTGTTACATTAAAAGAAAAGATGATGTTTACCAAACTTATTTCTTGCTATTAACCTTTGAAAAGATCGCTAGAAATGGTTCCAGTGTTTTGGGGATCCAGAGATCGACAATACTTGTGGAAACTTTTCCAGCAGTGAGACATGGAGTGGCTCAGCTTCTGCTCCTCTTCATTGGCGTCCACCAGAAGACGGCTATCTACACCCATTCTGGAAGTGCGTCCAGTCGTCATTGGGACCCCTCTTCTGTTAGAGGTCATCATGCCCATGGCACTCTTAGGTCTACTCAAACGCTGCTTCCTTTCTGGTTCCTGGTGAGAGCAACATATCCAGTTACGCTGCATTGATATAAATTACCTTGTAGGCAAGAAATTTAACCTTTATAAAACTCTTAGCAAAAAAACTGATGGTTTATGATGAAACCAAACATTTGAAAACAAGAACGCTCAATATGTGACAAAAAGATTGATTAAACGGTTATTTTTTGATATTTACTTTTGCATTGAGGTCTAAGTTTAGCTGCTGTCTCGTTCCTGATGTCTGTGGTCTAAGTTGTTGTCGGCCTGTCTCGCCCTGTGTGTGATGTGCAGGTCCTGATGACTCGGATTGGGATGCTGAGGCACAGAATCCCTCTGTTGAGAACTCTCTTAGGAAATCCTGGTAGTCCACATTTCCCGCTTGGTCAGTAATCAGGGTCCCAAGAAGACTCTCAAACTGAAAAGACTTCGATCATTGTAAAACCTTTGCTACTCTTTGGAATCAATAAAATATGCAAATATATATTCTGCCACATATTACTGGATTTCATCTAAAGACAGGAAAACGATGAAACGATGGCATCAAAGGTATAATTGCGGAAGTAATAAGCAAGTCAAAACTCAACAACTAGAAATCAAAACAAGACCGAGCGGTTTGAACTCACTTGTTCGTCCAGAAGTCTGAATGCCAGCTGCTGTATCACTCCTCTGAAGTCCTCCTGTCTCATCACACCTAGTCTGGCATAGTCCAGAGACGAGAAGGCCTCTGCGAACAGGTAGAACCTAGAAGTCACAATCTCACGCAGTCTCTGCACCACCTCCCCCATAGACATTCCCCCCTCTGCCGGCTTGGGGGTCTTACTCCTCACCAATTCCGAGAACTTGGCTGCACTTTTCACCCTTTCCTCTCCCTTGGCATCTGTCTCGTCTTCGGCTGTGACAGGGGTCTGTACGTAGTTGTCTAAGAATTGCATGTAGCTAATGGTAAGATCCTGGTAGAGATACAGGGTTTGGATGACGCCCTGAAACACAAAACAAGGGATTGAACAATTTTATTGTAATTCAGAAATTGAAGTTGGAAGAGTTCTATCATTTGGGTTAAAAAAGGATGTTTTAAAAACAAGGACGTTTTTGAAATATTTGGTAGAAATCAGAAAACGTATAAATGATTTTATCTATAAGTGGTGTTTTTTAAAGACATTAAAGCTTTTCAGAGCACATCCAAAAAACTTGACGAAGTCGATGATTTTTGACATTTGATCCAAAAATAGATCTACAATATGAGATTTAAGACTTTTTGACCTTGAATTGTGAGTCCTTCAGCGGGAAGCAGAATGCTTCTACTATGCGTCTGAAGTCGGTGGCCTTTATTCTGCCAGTATCTTCTTCGTCGAATGATTGGAACGCCTATGATAAAAAAACTCAATTATAATTTCTACAGATCCAGAAAAGTATAAATGTACAAGAAAGTGTTTTGTTAGTATTTGTGTCTATGACTGACTTTGAGAAGGTGTGTGGATATTCTGGTGACGTGCTTTTTCAGCTCCTCCACCACTTTGTTCACACTCCAGTTGTCGGTCCTCCCATCCATCATTCTCTTGCTCCTCATCTCCTTCGCCCCAGTACCATCCGCCTCTCTTTGCATCATCACCCTACGCTCTTCAATCCTGAAACGTATTTTGTAAATAAAACAGGAAGACCGAGAACAGATCGACTTGATGGAACAATTTTCTTATGCAAGAAAAGTTTGCCAATAAAGCATTGCCTCATCTTTACGTTACCTTTTTACCTAGCCAACGAATCTCCATATTTCACTTCTCTTTAAAATTTGGGGCTCTTGAAAATTTTTCGAGAGATTGGGGCTTCGAAACAATAATGATTAGATATAGATACTTACTCTCTTTTCAGTTCGTCCTCTGACTTGGGCACGAAGCTGTCCTGCTTCTGCTTGTCTATGGCCTTCAGGAACCTCTCGTAGCTCACTCGACGCGTCTGGGTCGGCATGCCCAATCTGTGCAACCAAGAAGGCTATACCATATACCGCTTAATTAATCTGATATAAATTAAATTACATCTTTTGAACCGTTTTTGGCCAAATCTTAAGGTGTTTCTAAGTGTGTGGTACCACTGTATTACCTGTGTAGCACTTGTTGGAATGTGTGCTGGTCCATGACGTAGTTGTGTCTGAGAAGAATGTTGTACAGTTGGTCTGTGCTGATGTATCCATCGTGAGTCACATCTGCACTCCTGAATGCACGGAAGAAGGTGGAGAAGTTGTCCGAGAAACTGTCCCTGCAAACAAAATCATTATTAGCACCGAAATAAAACTAAGTTTTAATTGGCGAGCAAATTTCACCAGCTCTCACATCAACTCAACTTCAGAAATGTTTTAAGTGATATATCTAAAACACCGAGATTTTTGAAAATTATTTAAAATTATTGCTTTATAAGAACTTCGATAGGTTTTTCTCGGTTAATTGGATTGGTTTTCTCAAAAAATTGGAGCTCTGCAATGCAACGAGTGAAAAAGTTTGATGAGGGCAAAAGAGGGACAACATTTTATGAGTAAGTGTTTGTGTTGACCTGAGTTGTTGTTCTATGACTTGGGCGTGGCCGTGTTTGGCCGCCTGCATCTGTTTGTCAGTGATGTCCGCCTGTCTCATTTTCTGTCCCTCCACGTGGCCCCTCATGGCATGCAGGTTGTTCTTGATCAACTCACTACTCACCCCTCCCCTGTCATTCCCCAGGAAGTCCACCCCCACGTGACCCACGAAAGTTTCAAAACTCACACTGCCATCCTGCATTGGGTCGTATCTGGAAACAGAAGCATACGTTTAGTGCATACCAACTCGTGGATACAACACCTGGAAACCCAAAAAAAAGTTGGTAACCTATTTGTGAAATTAATTACTTCTGAAATCTGAAGAATTATTGTTTTCAAATAAAAAACATTTATGCCTAAAACGTCGTCTATGATCAAAACTCTACCCGTTTATATACAGCAATTAGTTAATGTTTCTCTAATGTATAATCAATTTGAGATAACTAAAATATTGAACAATTATAACTATTTTTCGGCGTCTGAATCAAAAGAGTTTGCAATAAATCGAAACTCACATCATCCAGAGTCTGTCGAACTCCTCGTTGCCAATGGGCAGGTTGAACTTCCAGAGGAGTCTTCTGAACTCGTGTTTGCTAATCTTACCATCCGAGTCCTTCTCCATCGACCTGAAAGCCTGAAGAAGACAAAAAGTGATTTGTTATCTTACTGTAAGTACCATCGGGACCTGAAAAAAATCTCAAAATATTCGAAAGTAAGTTGTAAAAAGTAATTTGGGTCTGTAATTTGCACAAATAAACAGTGCTTGGATTGGAATTTGATTAATCATTAAGTAAACATGTAACCCTAGTGAGGTCTGGGTATCGACTGGCCGCCTTCAGCTTCATGATGTCGTACACTTGTTCCGCCGCCAGATGTTCCGGACTCTTTGCAACTATCAGGC